ACTGCTCCTGCTGGTGGGTGGTGATCCCTGCTGCCTTGCATCCTGTGGGGGGTTCTTCACGAGCCCCCAAGGCTGCACTAGGAACAGTGAGTCCTGGGGTTTTTCTTGGGTTTTTTTCTTAAAGGGACAGAGCTGACCTGGGCGGGGCAACTGTAGGGGGGCTGGGGAGCTCATGCAGAGCCCCCCATGCGGCATGTGGCAGTGGGGGGGCAACAGGGATTGCCCCCCTCCACCTGGCTGCACCTGGTGAGCACCGAGGCTTTTTTTTTTTTTTAAAGTACTGGGAGCTGGGGTGGGTGGGGTTGGCCATGGGGGGGTCTGGGAGAGTGAACAAATAACCTAGCAATGACACCAGAAGGAGTTAATTTCTTCTGGTTTTATTTGTAATTTGTGATTGAACTGAGGCCCAAATCCAGCACTGGGACCATAGGTTAACAGATGTACATGCTCAGAGTCCTGCCAAGTGTAACAAGGCTGAGGCTTCTCAGTCCTCTGAGCTGCTCCATGGAAACATATGCTTGAACCCAAGCAGCCTGACACAGCTCAGTAGGGCTGTACTTGGGCACAGGCATCCTTCAACATGGAGCTCATTGTGGGATTAAGGGCCAAGTAAAGGTATTTTGCCAGACTTTCTCCTTTTGCATTAATTAGCGTGTTGAGCTTTCGGAATGCTTACTGTTCTGTTGCTAAAGTCCATATTTATGCCCCTAAAGACGATGCCAATGTGATTCTTGCCTCCCTCCCCCCTTTCACCTTGGACCCAGGGCCGGGGTCTGGCTGCTTTTGCCGCTTGAGAAGTGTGTGGGTTGAAAGCCAGGCAGACCCCAGCTGGGGTACCGCTCCTGGGAGATGGGAGGGAGTGGGGATTAACCTTAGGCTACCGGCATCTGGCCACGTCCCCTGCTCCTGCTGCTCAAGCAATGAGGGAACACTCTGGAGCAGGGTTTCCCACTCCAACCCCCACCCGCTTCTCAGCCAGCTGGAGCAGTGATAGTGCTATGGCTAGGGAGGAGAGGGGTGGGACCAACCCCGCTCAGCTGGAGCAGACAGCACAGCCCAGCCCAGCTCAGGGCTGCAAAGCATCCTGGGATGCTGGGGGACTGTGAGCTAACTTGAACTAGGAAGGGATCTGGGACAGGAGTTCCATAAACTGGTCTGCCTAAATCAGTTCAGTTTGATGCTACATTCAACCAGGTTCATCTTAAAGCACTTTCAAAATGACTGAAACTGGTTTATGTGCACTGAATTTCTGTTTTGTTACAGGTTTAAACCGGTTTCTGATCACATAAGCTAGTTTATGCGTAACTTCTGTCCCTAGTTTATGTGACCAACAATTCATGTTGTTCTTGCTTCAAGACTTCTGGAGCAAATAATGTGGTTTTAACAAGGGTATTCAGTTCTAGGGCAGTGAGCTGAGAACTTGTTGCCACAGATGTCTGTGGAATAAAATGAGACTGTTACCTGTTGGTTTGTGTCATGGGAATGGGGGTGTTTGAACTAACAGCAGGTCCTGGCAGATTTTCTAATATGCATGGAGTATGGTCTCTAGTTTGTGGCAGTTTTTAGTGTCTATATACTTTTATGTGCCTGGACTTTTTTTTTTACCACTTCATTAGTAAGAATCCATTCCACTCCTTTTCCTGGTCGGTTGTTAACTGAAGCTGTGTCCCCTTTCAGTGCTCTTCTCTTGAACATGCATCAAGTTACTGTGAGGTAAAATGGAAACTTTGGTTGTTACTCCTGTAAATAAACGTTTACATAATACATTGATTAGCCTCAACTTCTCACTGTTGCATTTCTAGCTAAAAAGGTCACTTTTTGACATCATTACCCTTTAGAAAGTAATGCATACGCTATGTATAAATGACATGAATGGTTTTAGAGCAGTTTCATCCTGGCAGGAGTGTATTACTGTATACAGCATGTGCCTCTTCATAAACCAGAAAGGTGACAGAGGTATTAGACAGTGTTGCTTACACATCAGTTTGAAGGGGAGTTGTAACTATTAAAGGCAGAATTTGGTTTTAAGATCGTTTCACATGTGCTTAATTTTACTCGTGTGAGCAATTCCACTGACTCTTTGGGCCACAGCTATATACAATTAAAGCACACGCCTAACTGTTTGTGCTTCTGCTTTGAGAGAGGCGGATTACCGCCTGCTGTGCCCATATTGTGTCTTGTACAAAAGATTGTAGTTGTGGATTTTATACTGAGTAAGATTCTCCTTTCAATTTTTATTTTCTGCCTTCAAGACACTAAAAAGAAATCCCGCTACCAGTCATGAGGTGAAACTTTGGCTTTATTGAAGTCAGTGACAGAACTCACAATGACCTCACTGGAGCCAGAATTTTTTTTCCCTGGAGTCAAAAATTCCACCTGTTCTACGAGGGTGTCTGTTTGCAGAGGAACTCTGTGTTCTTCTGTGGAGCTGATCCTAGAGGGCCAAATCTCAGGCTTCAGGAATGAGTATACATGAAAATGTATACTTGGTCATCCTATTTCTGTGAAATAAAAAGGTAGCTAATACTGGTGACCTCCGTGGTGTGGATAGGGGGAGAGAGAATTTTAATTTTGAAGAATGAATATTAAGCTGCATGTGTGTTCCAGGTACTTGTAGATATTGGGTAAAATCAAAGGAAGGTTTCCCCAAGGATGATGGCCCTCATTTTTTGCAATTCTCTCATGTGCTTCCAAAATATTTAGCATCTTTTATCGCACATCAAGCTTTCAGGTCCTGTTCCCTCCCTTTTCCCAGGATGTTAGGATAAACTGTGTAAACACTGAGCTTTTTGCTCTTGTGATTATATTACTAAACACCCTTCCTTCCATGGCCACAAGTGAACACAAGAGCAGTTATGAAACCCTGTTTACAGCTCTGCAGCTGGTCAGGGTTTCTTTATGGGTCTTATTTCACATCTCCCCTTTTTAAAGTGTATATTGCCATCTAATTATCTGGACTATTCCTGGCGTTTCACTTGTAATATTAATGAGCTTTTACAAAGCATACAATGCCTCCTTTGTTCATATAGGAAACTGCTGAAGAGGGAGGGGAGGTTTCTCATAACCCCCTTCCCCCCCCAACACACACACAATAAAATAAAATAGAATGCGTCTGCTTTTCCTTAGTATGCAGTCATACTGAAGTTATGCAGTGTGGAGCGTGTATGTCAGCAATTGCACCTTGTGCACGAAACATGGGCAGGCATCATTTTTCTGTTTCCAGTATAAAGCAGGGATCCAAACAAGACCTTCTGTATAGCTAAACATTGTAAAGGCCTTATGTTAATGGTGAATTCTGTGTGCATGAATATAAGGCAAAGCTAGGATTGGTTGGCAGGCTCATTGCAGATCCAGGTGGCATATACTGACAGCTTTGGGTCACATGATAGCTATTAGTGCTTGCTTTTCCACTCCTCTGGCTCAGCTTGTCAGCAAGGGTTGAACGCAAGCATCCTGCAGCTTCCAAGAATGTAAGGGGGAGGGGGAAGTCTGGGGGGAAGCTGCTTTGGTGTTTTTCTCCCCCCTCTCATCTTCGATCAGTCTGAATTCCTGACAAATGTGGATTGTGGAGGTACAGAACTGCAGCCACAGTTGCCAAGGGAGTCTGGTCATGCGGCTCAGTCCATATCGGATTCGCTGAAGAAGGATAGATTAAACTGGCATGTACAGTCTACGTTGTCTGCCAAAGCAGCACTTAGCTTTCAGATGAATTAGATTGATCTTCTCTTCTCTGCAGTAATACACTTGAGGAGACAAAGGAACTGGAAAAACAGACAATATTTACTTTAGTAAGGATCCTGGACTGTGCAGCAGAATGGAAGGACAGAATATTGGTTATGAAACTATAGGGGACTGTAGATGGATCCTCGTGCGAAAGCCCATGTCTTGCTTCGACAAAATGATTTCTTTAAGGCAGTTTTTGTGATCCTGTTGCTAGGATTAAGCTTTTTGCATTGCAGCATGGAGCCTTTTGTTTGAGTTAAATTCAGACCTCTCGATATGTCACCTGACAGTCTTGTGGTTTTGGATGAATATGGCTCATTGCTATTATTAACCTGGGTTGGCAGCTGGGCATAACAGGAGTTTATAGGGATCTTGAAAAGTGGAACTGCTTAGGGGATAAAGATGCTTTCCAGGTATGGAAATAAAGTTATTGCAATTGTTTTAACAATTTGGACACTATACTTCCTAACAATTGATTTGCTGCTGTAATATTTTTTTTTTTGTAGAAATCTGATGCCTTATAGAGTTGGTTTGGCTTACTGATTTCTGCAACTGCATAGAAAATAGCTCTTTTCTGTATTTTTAAATATCCTAAGTTAATTTGATAACTATAACTTTGCAAAGATTAGTTCTGATCTGCTGAAGTAACGCGAAGAACTGTGTTAAATGCTAGCAAATTTAAGTCAAAGGGACTTTTGTTGGTTTGTGTATATTTTTGTATATCAAGGCATTTTTTCCAAAAGAACTAATGAGGAAAAGTTTGTGTATGTGTGTTTAAAGCCTCTTGAAACTGAACAGGTGTTTTCTAAAATGGCATGCTTTTATATATGCCCTCAAATCTGGAGGCATAGATAGTGATCTGGAATGACAAGAGTTAACTTTAAATTCTTAATTAATTGCTGGAGGTCAAGTTGTAAAAATAGTCAACATATTTATTGATTCCTTCCCACAATACCTTTTAGGCTACTGTTTTCATGGTTAATGTTTTTAATTCTACCATAGCTAACCTGTATATGTACCATGTCTTTATTTTCTGTGTACTCTTGGTTGGAGCCTAGCAAAGAATTAAATCCATGTTCCACGAGGCATTTTTGGGTGTGTGTTGGAATTTCGAGAGTGTGAATTAGGCATGGAGTGAGAGCTGAATGGATAAACAGAGGCAAGTGACTAACAGGTGGGAGTTAAAAATGAAAACAATCTAAAGTTAGCTTCATTTGTAGTTGGAGAATCAGACAGCAAACTAGAATTTGAGAGTCGGGGCCAGTAAACGTGGAAACCAGCTGAAGTTTATGTCCCAGTTCAGTGCACAGAGTGCATGCAGATGCCTGACTTGTGACCAAGTGTTACAGTATGTGCGTGGTGTGAGTAGCTCACAGTTCCTGAACCCCCAGTAGTACAGCTATTCAGAGTGAGTATTGCTAAACTACTAGATGAATGAGACAGATTTATAGACATGGCAGAGAGCTGGCCTTTTCACTGGTACAAAGCCTGTGGCTGGGCCCTCCCTTCCTTCTGGGTATAGGGAACCAAGAAATATGAACAGGAATCCTCAGCTTTGATTTAAAAGAAAAGTTGGTTTTTAGCCCTCGTCCTTAGGATGAACTTTGCAATGTAACCTCATGTGCTCTTTCCTGCCCAGGGCAGGGGGTCAGACTCGATGATCTAATAGGTCCCTTTCAACCCTAATAACTATGAAACTAGTCCATAGGGCTGAAAGCTTGTTGCAAATCCCTTCCTATAGAGCAGAGGAGATTCAGAGACTCCTTGCAGCCACTGTACTCCCAGCTCTTTAACTTCAGACAAAGCCATGAGTAAGTTAACAGCTGTAAGTGGCAGTGTTGCCCAGGGTACTAATGTAAGCAATTTCCCCATCAGTTATAATGGATCCCCTCCAGAGCCTTGGTCAAGTCACATAGCTCAGTTTTAATAAAAAATTTTCCCTGCAGGAATGGGGCCAGTGGACACAACCTTCCCATGAATGCGGATCTAAGGACATCTGTTTTGCAAGACTTTTTATATGTATCAGCTCAGAGGTTGTATTAGTGTAGAGATCCCCTTCCTCCCCGTGGCCATACGTGTTGCGTCACTGAAGCTTAAAGAGAACTGTTGCAGAAAGTTGTGCATGCAAACCAAGGGTATAAATTTATCATACCCATCAGAGGGTATTGGATAATGAATTTCATCTGTTTTTTTTGGTGTCTCTAGCTAAGAGATGCATAAAATTGGAAAAACCATCAACCTAGCATCATCGGTGCATCCCTAGTATGCTCCCAGCTACTTGTGTTTGTTCTGGAAGATCTACACAGCTGTATGGCAGCAGTCAAGTAGGGAGCCAACTGGCTGAACCATGTCAAGAAAATGATAGAGAGCATTTGTACTTACTGTGAGTCCTACATTCTGTTTGTCACATTACCATGAGGCATGAGAAGAGGAAAGGCCCGGAAGTACATGGAGGAAGTTGCTGGGGACTGGAAGAAGGCAGTCTTCATTGAAAAGAGTGTAAGAGCAGAGATGACAAAGGTGTATAACACACTGAGTGTCACAGAGAAGGCCAATAACCTACTTCTTTTTCCCCTTTCCCATAGTAAAATGTATGCAGGATTTTCAATATTAATAGACAACATATATGTATAAAATGTTGTCTTATAACATTTCCACATATAAAAAATCCCCCTAAAAACCTGTTTAACTCACTGCTTCAGGATGTTTTAGATATAGTTTAGAAAGGTACTAAATACAGATTACCTTTACACTTTGAATTGTAAGCTCTTTGGGGCAGGGACATTACTTGTGTTAAATATTTTTGCAATGTAGTTTGGTTTCCTCACGGGCCCCTCTAAACATTACCGCAATACAAGTAGTAGTAAATAATACAGAAATAACTGCATTGTGCATTGCTAGGTAGGTAATCTCATTAAAATTGTGGGCTGTGAATCTCTGTAGGCTTTAACGAGCAAGTATAAGAGTAAGTGGTCACCCTCTGAAGGTGAGGGGAAAATGTCATCTCCAGTACATAGCAATGTAGTCCCAGCTGCATAATGAACTGCACACTTTCCTTTGAAGCAGTTGGCGCTGGTCACCATTGGAGAGGGAGCACCAGATGAGACGGACTAGTGCTTTTTCAGTATGGCTGTTCCTATCGACATTCTGAAAAGGTGCTAACATGAAAAACATGCAGAACAGATAAGCTGGCATAAACTATAAATATCACTTGCGTAGATGCTTTTAAAAATAGTTTGAAGTGATTCATCACCAGGCAGTTTTCATAACTGTGGTTAACATGTTGAAAACAATAGTTTGATAGTTTCAACTTACTTTTTCAAGAATTGGGCATATTCCTGTTTAGTGATCTATGCTTTTTACCTATTTGGTCTCTCTCAGTTGGCTTTGATTTCAACCATACATCTTTTTAAACTTCCAGAAGTGTCTTGTTGTTTAAAAGTAACCCAGTGGTCACTTAGGTAAGAGTGAAACAACATTATTAACATAAGTTGTTAATGACAAAAGGGATTTCTGTTGATCTTGTACAGAAAACAAGGTTGTTTTGTCTTCAGCTTTATGGGTGGGGGAGAAGGCAGCATTTTTTGTGTGATGGTTATTAAAACCAGCATGGAGCAATGCGTAGGATCATTCCATTACCTCTAGCAGATAACTTCTTCATACTCCAGTGCGTGCTGTGTTTTAGGGGATGTGTAAAGAAATCCAGCTGTAGTCTATGTAGAATTCTGGATTGCATCCTGCTTGCCCAACTCCCAGCATTGGTGTTTTTTTTTAAGGAACTGCCCAATGGATCTGCACATGAAGAGTAAGTATCGGTGTATTAGAAGGTAGGGAGGTGAGGCAGGGAAAAGAGAGAACTGTTTAGCTGGACCAGACCCATTGGCTCTCTGTGACTAAATGTGTGCTGGAAGTTTGTTTCTAAAGAGATGTGCAAATACTTTTCTTGTTTTTGACTAGTTTAATTAGTTTGGTAATTTGGTAACATCTGGATTCTGCAAATTGCCTGTTCCCCAACTTCTTCCAAATTCAGTGCAGGAGCAGATGTCACCTTGATGTTCCTAATAAAATTAAAAACAATGTACCCAGTTGATTATCCTATGATGTGATGCTTTAAAGAACCCCCCCCTCCACTTTCCAAATTTTAAGTCATTTTCAGCTATGTGCATAGCCTGCTTGCAACTTGTCCTGTTAACCTGAAAACTCCCTTTATCACTAAGGCCTTTCTTCCTCATTTGGGGCCCAGAGTGTTTTGTTGGGAAGATCTAAAGAAAATGACTCCATTTTATGGAGTCCAGTTTTCAACTAACCTTTAGAGAGGCTGAGTTTTTGCAATATTTTGCAACTATAATGGATTATGTACAATATTTTTTAATTGGGTGGGGAAAGGAATTCTCCAAAGCATCTAAATAATTTGCATTCAATGGAACTTGTGCCTCTAAATCATTTTGGTGCTTATGAAAATCTCACTCTGTGTAAACTGGCATTTGTATTCCAGTAGTGCCAAGGGGTCTCTGTCAGGATGGTGTTGTGTTGTATGAAAAGAAATAATTCAGCTTCTTTTCTGCTATGAGGTCAGAATGCTAAATTTACAATGACATAATTTTCCATGGCAACAGAGAGTGGTTTATTTAAAAAAAAAAAAATTAGCTCCAAAGCAAGATCAACCAGGAACATCTGGATTGTTCAGAAACATCTTCTTTTCTCATTCAGATTTATAACTCAGTTGAGATTTCCACAACAGGGTGGGAGATTGAGACACATTGTTCCTTAAAATTAAGAGAACTTGTGAGTGAATTGGATATCAGTTGAACTTCATAGTAAGGTTCCATTTACAAACACATTCAGTGAAATGTGTCGCTTTACAGAGGATCTGCCACAGAATTTTGCCCTATATTACACGGAGTAGTTTTGTTCATTTTCCCTGGGTGCTCTTCTTAGGTGTCAGACTTACCAACACTTTCAATCTGCTAACGAGGAATGCTGTTTCCTGCTAAAATATGTCTCTGCTGAATGGAACAGGTGTGAGCTTGAGGTGCCAGTCTGCTTGTATTTACTGTATATCCTACTGAACCTTCTGCTAATACTCTTCGGTTTCTTCTGATTCAAGGAACAGTCCACTACTGCCAAGGAATATTTTTTGCGAAGCTAAAACGAGCTTTACAGCTATATTATGTAAGACAGATAACACTTAACTCATCTGTCATGAAATATGTTTTAAAACATACATTCGTTACTGGTGTATATACTTGAATAGAGAAAGTTAGTGTCCTGTGCAGAAATGGAGATGTAAACAAGCTCTTTTTACCTTGATCAAATATCTTGTTGAATACCGTAAGGGTTTTATATTTAGCTTTCTCTCCTCTTAGCGTTTAGCTGCTCTTGGGGCTTCTTATAAGCAGACTTTCCAAATATC